TTGCGTTTTCGCCTCGTTTGAGCTCGTCCGAACTCGGAATTGAGTTCCGTTTTTTCCTATGCTCTCAAAACTAACTTTTCCTGAAGAGAAAATTCGCTCGAATCTTTCGACCTACACACCAAAAACGACAAAACACAAAAGAAAACCGGAAAAACAAACAAAAAAACACCTAATGACTCAAAATGAAGGAAAACACATAATAAAACACGAAACAAACGAAAAACTAAAAAAACGACCTAAAACGGGGGAAAAAGGAAGATAAAATAAACATGAAAAACACAACAAAAATAGGACAAACATGCACTTTATCAAATCAAACTAACAAAATACGAAATAACAAAATAATATCAAGAGAAATAAAACATTGCTCCAATATTATGCCCACAGAGCTCCAATACTATGCCCAAGAACTAATGTCCTTCCTTTGCTTTTTGCCAAAGAAAAGAAAGTCTCAGCTCATTTCACGTTTAAGCTCCAAGAAGAAAAATCAATTAATTGTTCCAAAGCCCTCCAAGAGATAATGCTTGTCGTGATATCTCCAAAGAGACAATTGCTACTCTTGTCTCTTATTCTTTTCAAATCCGCAGGGCTCTCCCTTTTCTCCTTCTACAAGATATAAAGTTTCATCCATATCTCTTCCTCTCCAAGTAAGAATCCTATTGAAAAAAGAAAACAATATAATAATAATATTCTACCAAAATAAAATAACTAATATAAATATATTTTTATATATATAAAGAGATAACAAAAAATTAGAAAAGCAAAATAAAATAAAATGCTAAAAAAACGTATTAACAGAATGCAAGGTGACAAATGCAACCCCTGAACATGCTAAAAACATTATGATGATATTAAATGAAAGATCTAAAGATCCCCAGCCGACAGTAAAACATCGGCTAACTCTGATATAGCATATGATAATAGCTCGGTAAACTAGAAGGGACTTGGCCGGTTATATGAGTCGAAATTAGCTAAGCCCAGAGATTGTTAGGTAATAGCTCGGGGTCCGCAACAAAGGGCTGTCAGTAGCTCGGCTAGATAGTCATCAACGGGCACCAAGTTTGGTAGAGTAAGTTGCTTGGTTAGGTGCGGTTCGGCAACAACGAGTAGAAGTCCACGTAGGGTTGAGCAAAAGCCTAAGGAAGACTGAGCAAATGGGTTAGTAACGAGCAGAAGCCTATGGGAGACCGAGCAAATGATTTGGTAGCGAGTAGAAGCCTATGGGAGACCGATCAGATGGGTTAGTAACGAGCAGAAGCCTATGGGAGACCGAGCAGATGAATTAGTAGTGAGCAGAAGCCTAGGGAGACCGAACAGATGGATCAGTAATGAGAAGAAGACTATGGGAGACCGAGCAGATGGATTAGTAACGACCAGAATTCCACGGTAGACCGAGCAGATGGATTAGTAATGAGCAGAAGTCCACGGTAGACCTAGCAAGGACGGCGAGCATGAAGGAGGCTTGGGTGGCGAGGACGCCTTATGGAGGTGGACCACAGGTTGGATGGAGCGGAGGAGAGAGCTCGATGGCTACCCCTCACATGGTGTTGCAAGTAGTAAACCAGATCCCATCACCAGAGCCAGATCAGGGGATGGTGAACCAGGGGATGGGCCAAGAGGTAGTGGTGCAGACGCCTGGTCTAGGATAGAGGATAGGCGGGAGCCAGGATGCATAGTCACCCCTTTACAAATGATGTGTTGGGTGTCGACTTACCTCAGAACTTCAGGGAGCCAAGCATATACTATAATGGCTCCTCCGATCCAGGTAGACATTTGAGGAGCTTTGAGAATGTGGTTGTCTTACATCGTTACAGTGATGGTCTGTGTTGCAGGGCCTTTTTGACTACCAGTTGCCGGCGAGATCCGTCTATAGCTTTGATGCGTTTAGCTAATTATTTACCAATCATGTTTCCATCGTACGGAAGCATGAAAAGACGTACATGTCACTGATGAACATCCAACAACGTAAGAATGAGTCTCTTAGGGAGTATGTGGCTAGGTTCACGCGGGCGTGTGTGGAGGTGCCTACACCTACGGAGGAGATTAAGGCAGCAGGGCTCACGCGAGGGTTGAAGGCGGGTCACTGCAGAAACTCATTAGCCTAGAAGCCTGCTAGGTCTTATGACGAGCTACTAAAGAGGTGTACCAAGTATATGAACATGGAGGAAACAGAGGCATATTTTCTTGTGCATGAGCGAGCTAGGGGAAAGAAGCAAGAGGAGAAAAATAGATATGAGGAGAAGAAGTCAGATGGTAGAGAGCACATGGGTGATGATAGGGGCGTATGGGGTTTAATTGTGAACATTACACGCCACTGACATCACCGAGGGGGCAGGTGTTTGAAATGTTGGAAGAGAGAGAGGAGGCTAAGATGTTTGCGAAGCCTCAACCTCTACCAAAGAAAGAGGGAGAGGTGCCGGCACGAGGGGATCCTTACTGTAGATACCATCGGGATTATGGACATTGGACGAACAATTGTAAGGAGCTCAAGGACGAGATAGAGAGGCTCATAAGAGAGGGTACTTGAAGGAGTTTGTGGTTCATAATAGGGAGAAAGAGCTCCTAAAATGGGGGTAATCCACATGATAGCTGGGGGGCCGACAGATGGTGACTCAAATGGTGCTATGCGAGCTAACTTGAGGGCTGATTGGGAGAGTGTAACGGATGTTAAATTTGCTCAGACTATGCTGGAATTGAAGTTTGGTGCAAGGGATGCCCAAGGAGTGTTGGTGCCTCACAATAATGCTCTAGTGGTGACAGAAGAGATTGCGTGGTATGATGTGGAGAGAATACTTGTGGATACAGGGAGCTTTGCAGATATCATGTTTTATGAGTGTTTTAACCAGATGGACCTAGATGTTGAGATCACACCTATCAAGACATCGTTGTTTGGCTTTAGCGGGGCGGAAATGATACCTCTGGGGGAGGTACAATTGACAATGGCGTTCGGAGCTCCTCCTTTGAGAAAGGTGAAGATGGTGGAGGCGAAGTCAGCTTATAATGTCATATTGAGGCGGCCTAGCTTGAACTCTTTCCAGGCGGCGATGTCCTCATATGGTATAAAGATGAAGTTCCCGGTGGGAGAGCTAGTGGGTGAGGTCGCGGGGGACCAGCGATTGGCTAAGGTCTGTTACCAAACGATGTTGAAGGTGGGTAATAAGAAGAAGGGCAGAGACGAGAGCTTGAGCACAGTTATGGAGGAGAGCTCGAGCAAGGGCAAGGAGGCCAGAACAGAGATGATCTCACAAGATGAAGTAATGGAGCGGATGTGCTGAAGCTTGCGAGAAAGTTTAAGCTAGATGGTAACTAATCTCAAGGAGTATTATTGTTACTGTGATTGTAACTCTGAGCTGTTTTTGAAACACTTATGATTTGATTATTAAATTAAGGTTAAATTTGGGTTGTTTTTGAAAAACTTGTGATTTGGTTTTTTAAAAATTCCAAGGTCTTTCCGAGGCCTTGGAATTTTTGTTTTTTTTGTTTTTTTAAAAAAAATAAATAAAGCACCCTAAATCTGATACCAAAAATAAAATAAAATTTAAATATATAAAAAAATATTAAAACAAATTAAATTTATATAAAGGGAAAATTTCACTTTGGTACCCCAAGTTTACATACTTTTCGGTTTTGATACCCATGATTTCAAATTTAATCATTTCCAGTCACTCAAGTATTCAAAATCCATCATTATTGCCCAAATCGTTAGTTGACCGTGAGTCAACTGACGGTCACCTTCTCTAGCAGGTCGTCTTCTTCTGCAAGATAGAAAATGGCAGGCATCTCCATTACAACACCACAAAGCCGCCGAAAGTGAGGGAAAAAAAAAATTTGAAGTATTTGCAATTTTGCACCATGAGCAGTGCAAGAGGAAGTTGGAACTCTCGCTGGAACTCCGAGATTAATGGTGCTCCAATGGAGATGGCCTGCAATTGTGGAGAAAAAGTCTACTTGAAGACCCCTAATTTGTTCAACTGAAAAAAAAAACCCTAATTTTTAGGGTACTCTCACCACAATCAGATAATATGGATACATCAAAATTAACAATATATTTTCCATTGAAAAAGAGTATGCATCTATCACGGATAATCGAAAAAGCCTAATTTGTTCAACTGAAAAAAAAAAACCCTAATTTTTAGGGGAACTCTCACCATAATCAGATAATATGGACATCCCTCAAAATTAACCATATAATTTCTATTAATTTAAAAATTTGATGACAAACTGAAGTGAAAAAACGTACCGTATTGAGGTTGCAACCCACGTAATCCTTCTTGCCATGAATTACATGGGCCGTCGCAGATCTGAATATGCTCGTCGCAAATCTGAATATGCTTGTAGTAAATCTGATATGGATGCTCACAATACACCAATACACCACTCGATTGCCCACTCAATTGCGATAAATGAAAGAAATTTCTACAAGTAAAATGTTAGCGTTTTTTTTTTTTAATTTCAATTAGGTCTGGACGAGGAGAAATTAGGGGAAACCGATTATTTAGGTTTCTTTAGAGAAAGCAACCGGCTATAGAAGGTGACCGTCAATTGACTCACGGTCAACTGACGATTTGGGCAATAATGATGGATTTTGAATATTTGAGTGACTGAAAATGATTAAGTTGAAATCATGGGTATCAAAACCGAAAAGTATGTAAACTTGGGGTACCAAAAGTGAAATTTTCCCTTTATATAAATTTCATATTTTTTGCACTTATGTAAAATATAGGGAAAATAATTTTTGCGTATAGATATGCACTACGATTTGGAGAAAAAATACCCAAATTTGATAACCTAATTTGGAACCTTCGTCCAAGTTCGGACACCGCCGTGCCGCCATAGTATTCCACCACCAGCACCTTCCCCTCGTTTGACCTTTCGTCCAAGCCACCGCCTCTACATAATGCTGCTCACCACTCTCAACCCTCATTGCTAAGTCCTTGTATGGCGGCAATTCCAATTTATCTCAAATCCTCATCCGATCCCATTACCCCTTTCCACCTCCAATGGCCACCGACGCCCCCGCGAAATTCCAGAAGCCGGAGCTGATCCCGGTCCCGCATCACCACACGGAGCACCACCCGGAGACCTCGGCCGCCGCGGTGTCGGCCCACGACGGGCTCCTCTTCTGGCAGTTCATGATCGGCGGCTCGATCGCCGGCATGGCGGTGCACATGGCGATGTTCCAACATGATTAATGATTTCGATCTGGTGGTCGCTTGTTTTTTAACAATACTAGAGATGGGTTGATAAACTACTCGGTAACAAAAATCGGAGCAAAATTTGAGATTGCTGGGGCTGCCTTTTTCAACCTTGGACTGCCAACATGCCCCTTTTATTCTGGTATGGGCTCGACCTGACGTGATTGGAATACTGGGATGAAATCGGAGCAAAATTTGAGCTTAAGGTTGTCGGCCATATATTCGACCAATTTGGATGGCCAGGTCCATGTCGGCGTCCATATTGGCCTCCACTTCTTCTATCTCCTTCTATAAATCCGCATTCTGGTGGTTCTCGTTGCAGGTTGTCGGCAGTAAGCTTATCGTCTCTTTCTTAAAGTCCTTCAAATCGTTTTAAAGATCCTCTCATAGGACGGGCTGGTCGATTTTGTGTCCTCGTTGAGTATGGGGACGAGAGTGACAAGCAGCTAAAAAATAAAACAAGAAAATCCAGTATTAGAAGTTTGGAATACTCATTTCATCTGCATGACTGCCAGAGAAAGCAGATATACCAGAGTCGAAGCTACTCCGGTCGCATATGATTCTCCCTTGGACATAAAAAGTAAAAACGGGTCGGCCCGTCTTTCCCCGCCCAAGAGTTTGTGTAGTATTTTCTGGTTAAAAATGGGTCGGGTCGAACAGGAGAAAAACTGTATGGGTAAGGGTTTTGTGATTTCAAGGGAAGGGGTTTTTCTCAGTTGATTTGCTTTGCTTTTACAACAGCCGCTGCCCTTTCTTCTCTGTAGAGGAAGAAAGATCCAATTTTGTGCTTCGAATTTGTATCAGCAAAGACCACACCAGCAAAAAATGACAGCCTTTGTTCCTCCATCTCCTGCCGCGGCGACGACCCTACCGGCGGCCGGTTCTACCCCGACCGCCGCCGAGAAGACAAAAGTGGACTACTTGAATCTCCCCTGCCCCATTGCGTACGAAGAAATCCACCGCGAGGCCCTCAGTTAGTGTTTCTCCCGTTCGATTCTCTTTTGTGGGTTCTTTCTAGTTAATCGTTCCAATGGTTTCTGTGCATTTGCTTGAACTGTTGTTCCTATTTTACGTGGAAGGCGGCCTTCTTGATTGGTTAATTGGAGCCTGGAGCTTGATTTTGTTTATCAGTATTGGTATCTCTTTTGGCGTTTGTGGGTGTATTCTGCTGTAAAACCCTACTTGAAGTAAATTTATTTTGGAAGAATCTGTTGAACCCATTGTGCTTCTGTTTCACTATGTAAAGACTGATCACATTTTTTATAATCCGCGGAAGCTAGCACAGTATCCCCAGATTGTATGATTTTGCATGATCATCCTTACATGTTCAGTTTAGTTCTAGAATTCTTTTTACTTTCTGCTCAATAGAATTAAATAGAATTATAGAATGATGAAGTTCAGCCTGAAAAATATAACCCCAAACTCCGCCATTTACGTTAAATCCATTTGCTACAGGTTAAGTGAAATGATGCCAATTGCAATTTGTGTACTATTTTGGTAATGCTAGAAATTATTGTTATTATTATTAATATTATTGATATTATTATTAAATGTCTAAATATTATTATTTGTCAAATTGTAATTGTTTGTCTAAATGCATATCTATATTTTATTATTATTATTATTATTATTATTATTATTATTATTATTATTATTATTATTATTATTATAAAAAAAATGTATATATTATGTATTAGCCGGTTTTATTTTAATTTATCATCGCATTAAATCGGGTCTCGTATATTATTTAATTATCGAGCCGATAAGAAACTCCGGGCCCAATTTGCGATTTTATTCCAACCCAAAATAGTTTATTTCTCTAGCCCAATTTGCGGTATAATTGGCCCATTTGGAGATAGAATGTTTGAGCCCATATCATTGAGCCCATATCAATTGTTCTCGTACAAATTTTCCTGAACGGATACCTCCCCTTCTTTTCTCATCGCGAGACCGATTCGTACCTTATCAGCACGTTCAAAACTTCTGCTGTGATTCTTGTGGGAGAATCAAACGCACGTTCTCCCTGATTCTCTCCTTTATCTCTTCAGCTGAGCATGCCTATAAGTCTCTATCCTATGCATCTCGTTCAAAGCATTCCCCGCAGCTTTAATTTCCATCTTCACGTTCCTCTCAAATACTTTCTCCCTTTCTCACTGTCATTGTTATCGGCGTTCTCCCTGTAACTTCCAGCGTGGCCCGACTCTCTGCTCCTACCAGCAACCAGCTCTGTTCGCAACCACCATCGTCGACTCTCCGGCGATCCTTCCCGCTGTTCACTCGCTCCGTACACCATTAAATCCGACAAGACCTTCCCCTCTTCAGCGGCCGTTCAAAGAACCCAACGACCGTCCGAGCCTGACGACCGACGTCTTTTCTTGCGTTCTCGAGCACTCCTCAGTCCGTTTGAAGGAGCCTGGCAAACCGTTCGTGAGAAATAGTCGTGTGTTGCGTTCCGAAGCCGATTGTAATTCCTGCTATCCGGCCCGTTTCCCGTCTGATAACGCGTAGTTTCCCGAAGACGGGTAACTTATTCGAATCCTCTCGTTAATACGGCCGTTCTCATATATCGCATGATATATTTATATAGCGTACGGGCTACCGAATCCTTGTTTATTTTCCTATGCATATATGTGGAGTTGAGCTTTACTTGGCCTGTTTGTGTTTATTGCTGTTGTACTCCAAGTATGTGTTTGTGAGGTCAAAGTTGTTAGAATTATTGCCAAGTTACAGCTCTAAATAAACTTATAAGCATGCCTAAACTGTTAGAATTTTTGAAGCATCATCTAGTCTGGGTCTGTTATTTTGTTGAACCCTTGTTTTCAAATGGTGGTGTGTTGAGAATGTGCTAAGTGTTGTGTTATAAACATGCTAGATTGGTGAGTATGATTGCTAAACTTCAGCCTAAGATGTTCCGAATTGCAAGCTGTAAGAAAAATTAAGGAGAAGAAGGTTATGTGATGTTTTGGCTTTATTTATTTATTTATTTAGTTATTTAGCATGCTTGTGAGTTGTGTTTAAGAGTTGAGAAATTTGGAGTTAATTATACGTTGTTTTATTGGTTGTAGCAAGTGTTTGATGGCATGTTTTGGTGTGAATAATTTTATGAGACCATGATCAGTGTCGTATACATGCTGGAAGTTATGTTGGAGCACACTAAGTTGGGGGCTTAGTTTCTGTTGCTAAGAGTTGATTTATGTGCCTTAATTTTCTTTCTACACTGAGCAGATTATGCATTGATGCTTTGTCTAAATTTTTGAGTATGTGCTGAGCCTCTATTTGTGGAGTTATTATAATAAAAATATGTTAGTATACTTTATGTGCTTTATTTATTTTTAATTTTTTTAATTGTTCATTTTGTCTTAATTGTCTTGTATGCCTTTTTGTCCATGTCTGTCCTTGCTTGTTTGTCGTCGCCTTTAATAATAATAATAATAATAATAATAATAATAATAATAATAATAATAATAATAATAATAATAATAGATAAAGAGAATTTCTCACGAGCCACTTCGTCGACGAGTTTCGACTAAGTTTGAGAAATCGTTTGATTTGTTGTAATCGAGAGGTTATCTTGATTTCATGTAGGTGTTCTGAGGTGTTGACCTCAAATCCCATCTTTTCGAGCCTTGTGTTTGTGATATATCGCTGCTTTCAGGTGGGTACAGTTGTTGTATCTATATTTATCGCACTTGTTATTTCGTATAAATGTTCGTCTCGATAGCTGTTGTATGCGTGAGAACCCTAGTCTAAGTGTCCCGTCGATAGTGCCTTTTATGAATGCATAATCAGTGAGTGGTCGCCTGCCCGTTGCATCCAGGAGGGACGCCCCAGGCCGTTGTATCCGAAAGGGGAAAAACAACTCTACTGTCTCCTGGAAGGGTCCTATGCCCGTTGCATCCGGGGTGGGAATGTTTCCAGTTACTCCTTGCCGATGTCTGATCGGAAGGTCGTTGTATGTACATAGGAGGTTTGCGATAGGGCCATATAGGGAGTTAGAGCTTGGATTCTATGCATACATATTTATGGTGTTGAATCTTTATGCGAGATATACTGTGCGATATTGGTGAGCATGATGGTTTTGCTCACCCCCATTATTTGTGTGTTTGTTGTCCTCTTGTTTCCTCTTCCTATCCTTAGGTTGAGCTTGGTTGGCGGCGGCGGCGAAAGGCGATCGAGTGGTGGTCATTGGATTGATGTGTCTTTTGCTTCCGCTATTTCATTATCTATATTGGATTGTTTGCTTTTCACTTGATTATTATGCTTCCGCTTTTATTCATATTGATCATGTTAGTTTGCTATTGGATCATGTTAAACCTTTGGATAGTTTCGAAACTTATGAATAATCTGGTTTGATAAATTTTTATAATTATTAATCCTCATGTGTAGGTCCTACATGTTTTTCTTAATTGTTTATTTATTTTTAGTAGTTAAGTAGCGCCCGTTAATATATAATTTTTTTAAAAATGGGGATTTTGCGAAAAATTAACTCTGATTTTTATAAATATATTCGACGAACTCCTTAAAAATAAAATGGGGCGTTACAGTATGGTATCAGAGCTTTTCTGCGTTTCTGTAGACTCTCTCTAGTGTTAGTATTGTTAATGACCATTGACCACTCGCTTTCGTCTCGCCGCGCCAACTCGAGGTATGAGTTTGTTGTTTTGTTTATATTATTGGGGCTTAGGACTATCCACCTATTTATGTTTCGAATTCTAGTGTTTGGATGATGAACTCTAGAATTTAGATTTTGTGCTAAACTTTTTGGATTATTCAATGTAGAATCATGGCTGGACGCAATACCCGCAACAACAGGCAGCCATCTCCGTCTCCGTCCCCACCCCCATCGCCTCGTCAGCAGGCTCCTCCCGACCCAGACTGGGATTTTCCGAGGCTTATCGTTCAGTTTCAGGGCATGCATGCACCTACCTTCACGGGGACCGAGAGCCCCACTGTCGTGCTGGAGTGGATGAAGGAGCTTGATAAGATTTTTGCAGTGCTTCCGCTCACTCAGTCACAGCGCGTCTCTTTAGCGGCATTCAAGATGAAGATGGACGCTTCGGATTGGTGGGTCGACTACTGGGCCCTGAGGCCAGTGGCAGAGCACGATGCTCTTACCTGGGAGCGTATGAAGGAGATCATCCGAGACAAATTTCTGCCCCAGAGTTTCCGTGACCGCATGGAGCAGGAGTTTTGGCACCTCCAGCAGGGGAATGCTAGCGTGGATGAGTACACGCGCAATTTCACCCGTATGAGTATCTTTGCTGGCGAAATGGTGAATACCGATACGAAGAAAGCCCGCAAATATCTGAAGGGGCTGAATCAGCGAATTCGCGAGCTTGTACGGAGCCATGGAGCAATGCCTTATGCCGATACCGT